TTCCAAAGGATCCAAAAATATTCATGAATGCTTAATCTAGCAAAATATTGTATTCTTATATATACTGGATTAAAGCACACATTAGGGGAAAATACCATTTATTGATTTCTCAAGTGAATCAGGAAAGGAAAATAAACTTGAATAAAACTGTCACAGTTTAGTCCACACAAGCAGGGTCTTGAGAAACATGGTCAATGTTTTGAATCCTTGGTCTTCTCCAAAACTCATGTGATGGAAAGTTCATCTCTAATGCAATGGTGTTGAGAGGTGGGCCTAATAGGAGATATTTGGGTCATTAATGCCACTATAAAAAGGGCTTCTAGCAGAGGGTTTTTTCTAGCACTCTTCTATCACGTGAGGATAGAGAGTTCTCCTATTTGCCCTTCTGCTTCCTGCTTTCTGCAGATGACATATTGATCTTAGACTTCTCAATACATTTTTGCCTATTATAAATTATTTGGTTGCAGATATTTTTATCAAAGCACAAAATGGACTGAGAATGTGTGGGAAGAAACAGACTAGACCAAGAAACATAAAATATAAGGTGGACAGGGGTTCATGTATTGACATGAGTACGCTCACCTAAGCTTAACACAGTGATTCTCAACCCCCTTTGAAGATTACTAATGATGCTAAGATCCATTCACAGAGACTCTGATTTCATTTTTCTGGAGTGTGATCTGAGCATCACAAAATTTTACATTGCTCCAGATGTTTCTAATAACTCTTAAGGGTAAGAACTATTACAGAACAGTTTTCTTATCTGGTTAAAGGAACCAGTAAATGAGGCTAAAATACCACAGCTGTCCTTGAAATAACAAGGAGTCCAAAAGCTTAGAGAGATTGGATTCTTAGAATGGATCTATTATGAGCAACCTATATAACCACCTCTACTTCTTTCCCATCTCTGCCCTGACCCACGAAGATCACACGATGCTTCCCCAAATAAGAAATGCCCTGGTGAGAGAAAAATCACCATCCTTAGAAAGCTTTCCAGAGATGCATGGTTGTCTCTGTATCAGAGATAGGGGGACAAAGAATACTGCTATGGAATTGGGCTCCTGATTTCAATGGCAATAATGGAATTGAGGTGTGGAGACTTGGAGGGAATAATTACCATAATAGGCTGCAGAAACAGGGAACAGTGATCAGAATGTCAGACCTGCAGGAATCTGTAGTGGTGACTTGTACATCTCAGTGCTCTTTTTAGAACAGGAAAGATAAGCAGGTTTCTAGGGTTTGGGCTAATCCACGTGTATGGGAAAATTCCATATCTAACCCTTAGGAACCAGCTAGTTCACTTGGAGAAATGTATGGATTCCTTCTCTCACCAGCAACCCTATCAGATGTGCCAGAATCTGCAAAGAGCAAGCAGAGGGCATTGTTTGAAAAAAATCTCCAAGTGACACCGCTATGATCTTTTCCACCTCTTTTATATTGAGAGCAAGAGGGTTAAATGATTTTTATTTAGGGCCAAGAGTTCACAACCTTATGATAATACTAATCTGGTATCAATCAAAATCCATCAGTAATTTTTCTCTGATATCCAGGAAATACCAAATTTGCCGCAGAAATTATTTTCCCTGGCATTCAATTTCCTGTGCAACAGGACCTAATGCTATCATTCCCGTCTCTTCTTTCGGTAGTCTTTCAGGTGCTCCTCAGCCATGGTCATTCATGACACGTGTGAAAAATGATATTTGTCTAACAATCTAGGGTGAATGGTCAGAGATGATCACAGCTGAAGGTGTCTCCGCCAAAGGCTCTCACAGCCCAGTACCCCTCAGGACATCACAAAGACTGTGGGTTTCAATGTCTCACATACCTGTTTCCATCCAGCCCACACTTGTTTGCTTCACTCAGGAGAGTACTTCTGGTTGTGCAGTTCTGTGGACCCACAGAAATTCTTCTGTCCATTCTTATCCATTTCTAGTTCTATAAAAAAAAAGCTTTACTCACTATCAGCTCAACATCTTTGCTTTCCCATTTCCTGTACCCTACCTCATGCCTCTCTGTCACATCCTCTGTTAAGCAGTGGGAGCTCCAAGTCTTCCAAGAAGCCTTTCCCAACCAACTCACCCCATAGCAGGATTTCTGGTGTGTATTCCCTGGAGAGTTCCCTTGATATTGAATGGCAACCTGTCTTGAATCACAACTACATTTAATATGACTTTACACATTACCAGGTCATGGCTCCAGGAACTCAACAGTTTTAAGGAGGCACTGCCAACCTACTTTGGACATTGACAGGAAAGAATTCATTGGAGTAAGAACAAGCCCAAGCAGAAGAGGGAATGTCAGATGCCAAGAACTAGCCCAGAAGACTTTTCTGCAAACTACCTTAAGGCATTCCTGGGGATTTCCACACTGTCCGCAACAGCCTCTGACATGCAGCAGTGGTTGTGATGTTTCCAGCCCAAAGTGGGATTGTTTGGGAAGCATGATGTATTAGTCTGTTTTCTGTCACTATAACTGAAAACTATAAACTGGGTGATTTAAAAAGAAGAGGGGTTTATTTAGCTCACAGTTCTGGAAGTACAAGTGTATAAAATAAGCAAGAAATAAGAGCCTGTCTCTGGCATTTGCTTTGCGCCTAGTGAGGGCCTTTTTTCTGGGTCAAAACACAACAGAAAACATCACAATGTGAGTTAGCACATGTGCTGGCTTGGCTCTCATTCTCTTTCTCTTCTTATAAAGCCACACATGCAATCATGGGGCTCCACCCTTATGACTTCATCTATTCCAATTTACCTCCTAAAGGCCCCAATTCCAGATATTTTAGTTAGATTAAGTTTCCTTCTTCTTCATATCCCACAATGGGGATTACATGTCAACATGAGTTTTGGTGGAAACATTTAAATCAGAGCACATGGTTTAGAGCTTCTCAAAATGAGAAAGCTATATCTCTTAGCTCTTCAAGAGTATGTGCAGAATGAATCTATAAAAAACTCAATAGATATTGCATAAGCTTAATTTAAATGAACCTGGGAGAGAGCTTATATTAATTAACATTTCTAGTACATAAAGAAACAAAAGATATGACTAAATTAAACAAAAGAAAGAAGTTTGTAAAAAAAAAAAAAAAAGAAAGAAAGTAAAAACTGGAAAGTACAAGTCCTTGAAGGGAAGGATAAATAGCCAGGCCTCAGGAGGGCAAAAGCTAGGAGCTGGTAGAATCCTTTGGCCACTGTTGCAACTAACTCTCAGCACCTGGATGGCCAGCCACACAAGATCCCAATTCCCAGGAGACAGTCTCTCCACTCTAACCTGGTGAGGTAGAGGAGAGCTAAAGTCACATGGATGGGGGATAGTGCATGTCCCCAAAGTAGAGATGAGGAATAGAAAAAAAGGAATGATGGCCTACCATGATGCCCAAGAACTCTATTTGATGAACTCTGTGATTCACTAATATTGCATCTTACTTTTTAGTTTGCAAAACAATTTATAGACATTTATCTAATCTAATTTTATTTTCAGATGTGTAAGCTAGATTTTGTTTATGTTCTCCTTTTAAACATGAGGAAGCTGAGTCTCAGAAAAGACCCACTTGGCACAAGAACTGAAATGCTATTCTTCTGAGTATCAACTCCAAGTTTGTTTTGGTCAGCTTTTTCGCTGCTGTGACTAAAGGACCCAACCAGCACAATTGTAGAGGAGGAAAAGTTTATTTGAGGGCTCATAGTTTCAGAGGTCTTCTTCCATAGAAGGTCAGCTCCATTCCTCAGGGCTCAAAGTGAGGTTGAACATAATGGCAGGAGAGGATGGTAGAGGAAAGCTGTTCACATCATGGTGACCAGGAGGCAGAGAAAGACTCCACTTGCCAAAATACAAATATATACCCAAAGCCATGCCCCAATTCCCACCTCTTCCAGCCACACCCTACCACTTCAGTTAATCCCACCAGGGATTAATTTACCAATTAGACTAACGCTATAACCCAATCATTTTCCTCCAAACCTTCTTGCATTGTCTCATGTGAGGTTTTGGGAGACACCTCACATCCAAACCATAACAAACTTCTCTCCATTATGTAATACTACTCTCTTTAAAATGAAAATATTTTAAAAACATAACATTTTGGTCCCAGGTCTGGATCAATCTGGATTAAATGTATATAATATTTTCCAAAAATATGTATGTTTTATAATAAAATGAGCAAGAAATGAGTACGATCCTACTTCTAGCTCCATTATTTGCTAGATTTTACTTATGTTAATTTCAATACATTTATTTAAGCACATAGGAATGTGTCCTAGATATTAGGGAATTTTATAAATATATCCATCTCAGTCTTTGTACTCACATAATTCAAATTAAGTTATCTAAGTAAACAGAAGCAGATGTCTAAATAAATAAATGCATATTTATGCATTTAAATATTTTATATTTAAAATGTAATAGGCAATTACATTTTAATTGCATATTATTTATATTGCATAGACATCAAGCCTCTTTGGGTCAGGGATCCTGAATTTTTTGTATTCCCAGCCCTAAGTACAATGTCTGGAACAGAGTAGATTCTTGATAAATATTTATGGAATGAGAAAATTAATGAAAAAACCAAATGTACAATGGAGATAGCTGAAGGAGGGATTACTTTGAATTTGCTTTGTTAAGAAAAGTTATATTTTAGCAAAGGGGTAGTGAGTTTTTAGAAAATTGACTTTAAAAAATGATTAGCATAACTATACTGAATATGTAAGGTAAACTCCTTATCATATTTGTGTCTGGAAACACCTCAGCATGATCAGAAGGACACATTTTGTCCCAGAGAGAGTGCTTTTGCATTGTTTTATTGAAGAAACAAACAAACAAAAAAAAGAGATAATCCCTTTATAACAAAAAGATATTCTGAAAAAAAATGCCTGATTTAATTCCTTGAAGTCTTGGTTCAAATCTCCCCACAACTCCTTCATTTAAATCTGACCCCACTCTGAAAACTTCCACTGTCTTAACTCAGTTGACCGTACCATGGATATTGCCCATGTAGGCCAGTTTTACCATTTTTAATCATGTAATTTACAGTCACTTTTTCATCCAAAAATTTAGCAAGTGTAGAGTCAGCTACTGGGCTCACTATATTTTGGAATCCATATCCAACTCAAAGGTAAACAGCCTCTATCATTTCTTTCCAGGCTCATTCCTTCCCCACTGGAACTAACACATTGTTCATCAGACATTCAATAAAATGCCTGCCATCTGACACACTGAACTGTAAGTACTTCCTCTCCCAGAGGAATTTAGTTACAGGGACAGCTGTTGACTTAGTTGGAGCCTAATGTAGACCCAAGTGATTTATTCACTTGAATACGGTTATACAAAGTACCAATGGAACAAAACCTAAGGAAGATACAGAAGCAAGGGAAAGTCACTTGGAATGCTCTGCCATCGGGTATCAGATCACCAGCAGTAAAGAGAATTCTCAAAATACCTGAATTTGAAAAGCCAGAGTTGTTGCAAGTTTTGGATACATGCTGCCAAGCTGCTGTTTTGGATATACTTTGAAGGAAAACATCTTTGGCAGCTGATTTAAATGTTTGTCTTCAATTCAGAGTTCATATTTGATCTAAGGCCATGTTGAAATATGTATCCTTAATTGCAAACAAAGCTGTTAAAACACCCAGAATGGCCATGGGGACGTAGTCTTCAGAAGCAGGTCCAAAGGCTCATCTACAGGCAAAGCCCTGTGGCCACTTTGCAAAACCTTTAAAGCGTCAACTTCAACTCAAAACACATGGCGGCTTGGGGTATGAAAAGGAGGCTTTCACTTCCTGGAGGGAAGCCAGGCTTCTATTGGTAACACTGGGAAGTTCCGCCTGGGGAGAGATGTGTGGGAAGGCACAGTGGCCTGTGTGAAACACATTGGTGGTCTGTGTCTTTTCTCATGGCTCCGTGTATTCATGGTGGAAATTGTCCTTGCAGTTGGCAGGAGCTGATATTTTATGTTGCCTAAAGACACTTAAACGGTTTCATCCACATCATTCAGACCTAGACCCCTTTTGTGGGAGTCTGTTAGGGGCCAAGTAAGATCCACTAATTAAGTAAATACTAATAAAAATTTAATTCCTTAAGTGAATAGAACTTGCATCCACAAGACTGTAAGTCTTAGATTATCCATAAAGATGTGAGAATGCAGTGTTCTAATTGGCTTACATAAGATTTATGTACACCCCATAATAGACCACCAATTTTTTAAAAAATTAAATGACAATATACTCACCTCCTATTAAATACCATACTGAGCAAAACCATTCCTGATTCAGGAGGCGCCTCAGAGCGTAAAGTGCCTTCAGGGTCACCATTAAACATGCCGTTTTAAAGAGCTGTGGAAGAATAAACTCACTCCCCACAGACCCATCCTGGATGTTCACTTTTAAACAAATTCTTCACATTAACTCAGTTACTTGTGATTTATTTCTTTCTCATAAAATGGAGCTCAGTGCATGAAAAAAGAAATCCTATTGGTTTGAATGTGGGAATCTGGATGTGGGAACTCAGATTCCCATATCCAAATATAACCAGCTTTTATCTATACATATTTTTGCATAGTTGAAATGACACTGCACAGAAAAACTATGTTCTTCTTACACTTTAATTCTCATGATCGTTTTTACGCAGCCTGAAACTCCTTTACTAACAAATTGTAATTGCTACATATTATCTTGAATACATTAATTGTAATATACTTGACCACTTTATATTTTTGAACATTTATTTTAAATTTTCTGCCAATTATCTCTAATAAATATTATTGTGGTAATTAGGATATTAATCTTTGTCTGATCATTTCCTTAAATTGACTCCTTAGAAATGATTTATGACCAGTGTTTCTGAGATTTCTCTCTCTCTACCTCTCTATGTATTCGAATTATTCATGGGTTTGCCAATTTGTCATCAGCAGTACTTTTATGTGTTCATTTTACTCCCCAAAGCACTGAAAGTTCATTTTAATTTTTTTTTCTTCATTTGAACTTTCAGTCGTACCTCTCACAGCTCTCCTGGATGGTTGTCTCACTCAACTTATGTGGTTACCTGGTAAGTTCTTCTGAATGCAAACATTAAAAACAAAAAAGCAAACAAACAAAAAGATATTATAAATCTTCACATGTTCTGAGACTAAAGCTTCTTTACACAATTCTTACAATTCTATCTGATTTGGGAAGAAGTTTTTTATATAGCTGGAACATACAATCTCCTGAGTATCCTCGAAGTTTAAAACAAGTGGAGACCTGTTACGTATGCTTCATATTTTCTATAGAAGGGATATATAAAAATATATCTGAAAATCCACATACCTTTTCAGATTATTATATTCAAATATGATAAGATGAAAAGAGATGAAAAGTTTAGGGGAAAGTTTCAAGTACATATGTTTTCTCTTTTCTTTGACCAGGTATCTCAATGAAGGGAAACTATGTTGAAACTGAAGAGGACATGGCTATCTATGTAGCTTCTTTGTTCCCTTCTGGATTTCCAAGTCTCCTAAATGGGACAGGGCTTCCAGGAAAAGCAACAAAGAAGATCTGAAAGCAGATGGTGGTAATGGTTGCACAGCAATGAAAATATATTAACACCACAGAATGTACACTTAAAATTGGTTCCAAAGGTAATTTTTATGTTATGTATTTTTTTCCCCTCTTTCCCCCCCAAAAGAGCAATAGAGCTTTCATTTTCTTTCCTATTCTTGGCCTCTTTGAGCCTCCTGCTGTCTGTTAACAACCCATATAATTCCACCCCAGCTCCACAGCTCAATGGCTGCTGACGGGAAGGAGGAGAAGACTTCTACTTATCCAAGGAAGCTAATGGACTCAGAGCCCTTCTTTCAAATTAGCAGCTATGTAAGTATATCCATGAACATAAATATATTTGAAAAAGAGAATATCAAAAGAATTGAGGCTGCTGCTACATTATCATTGATGACTGGGAGATAAGGATGAGGATTGCCATTGGAGCCCCGTCTGTAGGTGAAGTTTCTTGGCTTTGAATGTGCCTTGCATTCCATAATGGCGAATTTCTGGAAGCCTAATATTTAATTGAAATTAATAAAATGAATCATCAAGAAATTTTGAAATATAAAATATGTTATTATCTGTGGTCACCATGGATATTTAAGTTAGCTGGACTAAATCTTTCTATAATGTATACGTAGATCAAAACATTACATTGTACAGCACTAATATGAATAGTCAATTAAAAATAAAATAAATGACTCATTTTCACAGAAATAAAAACAGATTATATTTTCTATTATTTAAATAAAACAAATGGTATAAAAGAGACTACAATTTAGAATTAAGTCTTTAATTAATTAATTACTCATTTTCTTGCTGTACTGGGGATTGAACAGAGGGGTGCTTTAACACTGAACTGCATCCCCAGTCCTTTTTATTTTTTGAGACAGGGTCTTGATAAGCTGTCCAGGATGGATTGCTATATGTGATCCTCCTGCCTCAGCCTCTCAAGTTACTGGGATTGCAAGTGTGCATCACAATGACTGGTTTAGAACCCATTTTTTAGTGATATATTTTAAACATAAAACCAGGCTTTTATTTATATATTTAATGCCCATCTTCCCTTCTACCTTCAAGAAGCTTTTAAGCTCAATTTACTTCTTGGCAGGAATTAAATGAAAATACAAGCAAGCAGATGTAAATAAAATGTTACAATAATTATAAGAATGTGTTAAAAATTAAGGAAAACATTTTAAGTATATGAAAAATTAAAAAAATAAAGACAGTGAAAAAAATGTTTGCTTTTTTCCTTTTTCTTTTGTCTTTTTTTTAAGATCAGAATAGCCAAGATGTGTTGAGTACTTTCTCTAAGGCAGGCACTATTCCGGCAGCTTGCTTGTATTAACTCTCTACTTCTCACTCCACCCTGCAGGTGTGACACCACTACTGTTCATCTTATAGATGAGGAGACTGAAATCCAGAGAGTTTAGTGTTGCCAAGGTTTGCAATTAGTTGCAATGCTCCTACTCGCTCCACTCTATTGCTTTTCCAGACTGCATCTAGAACTTTACTCTGTATTTAAGATGACCGGAACCTGAAGGGGGAAAAAATGTGTCTGTGTTTGAGCTATAAATAAAAGCATTTTCTGGATTTTGCAAGCCATACAAACACCTCTTTGAGAAATGACCTTAGTTCATATCTAAAGAAAATTTTAAAGAGAACTAGTTTATTTTCTTTTGACTCCCAAGTCTGGGTAGTTTACTAGAGATGTTCCTCCAGATTTTCCTTGTGGTTCAAATTGTTTCCTAGAAGAGTCAGTTGAAGCCCGATGGAGGGACAGTGAAGGAAAAGCTCTTGGCACTGCTGGGCCCAGTGACACCTACCCCAGGGCTGCTGGGGACATGTTGACTTTTCCATCAGAACAGGTGCTGCTGGGATGACAATAGGGAAAGTCTGATGTATAATCTGGGACTCCTCCTTCTCAGACTCCCATCATGAGAAAGGGCGAGCCCTTTACAGGCCTCTGCTTCTTCTGTAGCGATGGCCTTTGTTCTTTGCCCCACACTAGCCCCAGCAATCCTGTTCCTGGTAGAGACTTAGGGAGGAAACAGGCAGGTCTTTAAACTCCTACTCACTGAAGTCAAGAGAGACAAGCTTGAAAGTGAAGGAGAGGGAGACCCTTCTGCAAATGTTTGGAGGCTGAGCTCACATCTGGCTGGTGAGTGGGGTGGGGGTTGATAACCTATCAGTGCTCTGCACTGCTGAGTTCAACCAGGGAGCAGGGGAAAGCAGCCAGTATCAGCTCCCCTCACCTTGGACGGAAAGGCACTGATGATCATATCCTCCGCAAAGCTGGTGACTCAAGGGTTGCCAATAGTGACCAACTTATTTACTTCTTCTCTGAGTTTCCATCCTTAGGACTGCTTCCACATCCATAAAACAAAGTATCTTTATGCTCTATTTATTTCTGAAAAAAGTTCTGTGCTAATATGGAAAGTATGACTCCAGCGTGGATAGAATATGGCCAACTGCTACAGATTGCCTTTCTTTCCCCGTGGGAAGAGAATTGGGAGTGGATGGCACACAGCTGGAGACCCCCTTAAACACTGGAGGCCCCCAGTCCTCAACTTCTCTGTGTGACCAGAAACAAAACATTACACTTCCAAGAGCTCTAGGTTCTCATCTGGAAAATGGAATAACACTCTAGGTCTGTTCTTTTCCCTGGCTGGTGCAAAAAGAAATGAAACAAGGTAAATAACACTATAAATAAAAGTGCTATGTAAATGGAAATGGACTTTCTTGGTAATAAGATAGTACCACCTTACTAA